TGTGTGTGTGTGTGTGTGTGTGTGTGTGTGTGTGTGTGTGTGTGTGTTCTATCTCAGGCAGGAGGCTGAGGATGATGAGAGGGCGGAGGAGGCAGCACCTCCTTGCCGTGTGTGTGCTGATGGTAGTTGCGGGAGGCTTTTTGAAATCCAGGGTGACCCATTTACCAGCAGTGAGGCCTCTCATTGGCAGGAGGAGACTGCTGCATGCCACCCTCCAAGTGAGCACACACCACCGCTGTAGCTAGTTGTAGTCCTTTTAATTGTATGACTTAGTGTAGTTCCATGGACAAATTCATTTACATTTCGTGTGTAGTGACAGGTGGAATTGTTTGTACATCTACACTTTTCTCACATTTACGTGGCACTCTGCAGTTTTAAATACTCCGTAGTGTATTTCACATCTTCAATTCCTGCAGTGTGGATCGATGTTCATGTTCTTCAACGTGGTCTATTTAGACTTACCACCTCTCCTCGTGTTGTATCAGACATTATAACAACTTAAAACTGTTCTAACAGGACAACACTGAAGTCCTGGGTTACGTACTTGGCCTGCTGTCCTGTGTCATCGCCTGTACCTCCAGGTTCCCTGCTCTCTGCAGAGCAGTAAGTGACAAACAGTACATGAGTGTTTTGGTGTCAGAGCCACCACTTATTGCTTTGCCAAAGTAGTTCCCAGTGTTGAATTGCTTTTAAATAAATTACATTTATTTTATCCCTTTTAGTACAGAGGGCAGATGTTGACCTGGGCCTACATATTCTCTGGACTGCTGTGCTCGCTGTCTGGTGCCCTCTACGCTGCTGCCATACTCCTCTACGACACTCAGTTTGGCTTTCTCTTAAGAGTCATGCCGTGGCTGCTGTCGGCAATATGCTGTGTCATCATGGACCTTCTTGTATCCTCATATGGCAAAAAGTGACCGCATCTTACTCACTCTGTCAGGCTCAGGGCTTCACAGCAAACCTTTTAGCCACAGAACTGTAGGTGGTTCATGGTAGCATTCACAACACAACAATGATTCAGATTCACCAAGTTCTGAACTCTCTCTGGTAACAGCGATAGACACCATGACGTAACAGAAAGAGCAACACAAGCATAAACTCAAAAGTCATCAATACAAAATGCAAGCAAAGGACTTCACAATACTGCCTACAATGTTGGACCTCAGGGAAATAACCTGTACAAGTAGATTACATGATGTCTTGAATTGCTTGACTGTATGTGAATTGTATCGACTTTCAGCCAGGTGTCGACCTTTAATCCAACGTCTTCAGATTCTTGTCGTCCACTGGTGGAGGAGAGGAGCCACGCAGAAGTTTACCATTCTTTCTCCAGACAAAGAGAGCCTTTTAATTGGCTCCCGCATCCTCACTGAGGATAACGCTGTCATGAAGAGACAAGGAAAACGGCAAGCTTATTCGTCAGCAGGGACAAAAGTACGGTTTGATACTTGGTGTTTGTGGTCCTATTGGTTTTTCTTAACCCTAGAAATTGTACAGGGATCATTATCTCAACAAACTTTCTGAGTAAATAAAGTAACAACTAACCAACTGTTTTTATATTAAACATTGACCGTATTGGAAGATTACTTAATGTGTCATTTCACTCATTAAATTACCAGGATGCATCTGTTTAACTGTGGTTAAAGTAACAGAATGCAGGCATTCCTCTGCAAGGTTTGAGTCATTTTCGTAGAATGAATGGGAATGATGCTTTTGATCATAATTCTATTCAACCTTTTCTTCAAAGACAAAAAATATCCAGAAGATGACTGAGATGGGTGGTTATATGGATGTCACAGTTCAACCTGCGGGGAAAGTAAGTGAAGAATCTGTGATGGAACAGACTGCATACTCGCATTATATTTTCTCCTTGGTCATCCTTGCAGTTGAATATGTTTTTTTTGTTTTTGTTTTGCAGATATGCCTTAAGGAGGTGATGTCCGAGGAGATGGAGGACCGGTCTCTCAACCAGACGGTGCGAGTGATCAGAGTCGACAGTTTCTGCTCCTCAGATACATCCTGTGACTCTTCACCAGTCAGCTCTGACCTGGAGGTGGGTTGGAGGCCTGTTTAGCCCTGTTGGTGAGCAGTATGACCTTTTTCTTACAAACTTCAGTAAGCTCAACAGTCTGAGCAGAGATCCAAAGTTAATGCTTCCTTAATAGATTCAATGCAAAATACTTACACCGATAATGTAGTCAGCAACTGCACAGGAAATGGTTGTCTTTATTTTGTTTTTTAAGTCAACAACCCTATTAACGTTTCTAATTTAATGTTTAGTAAGTAACAACCTGTAAGTCTCAAATGTACACTGTTGCATTTTTTTTTTCCTGCAATCATAACCATATTTAGGAATATCTTTTCTGTTTTGCAGTGGTGAACAATGATCTCAGACGCAAGCCTGTCAATAAATAAAGCTGTGTGTACTTCTCACAGTGGGCCTACCACTAGGTGGCGACAGCATGATGTGTGTTTCATGACCACTGTGAAACTATGAATCAATATAACAGGGTGGATGACAGCTGTTAAATTGTGCAATATCACCTTGTGTGAACTGCTTGAATCTGTTTGAATTGATTATCTTTTTATATGGGCTTATGTAACGAGTTTTCCCTGCACTGAAATGGCACTGTGTGTTCTTCTTTCCATCTACTTTACTAGATATATTATACCACCTTTATGAATGGGCTGTATGTTACATTAGATTAAATCCAATGCCTCACATGTACATTTTAGAGGTTATAATGAGCAAATTAAAATCCAGCGCTCTGAGGAAGTCACAAGAATAAGTAACAGTCAAGAAAGGTCAGCAGTTTGATCTGCTGCACACCGAGATTTGTGCTTTTCACATGTGACCTCGAGGGAAGTAAGTCAGACAGTTGTCGGAGGTTCTTGTAAGAAGACAGCAGTCATCATACTATTTTAGGATTGATGAGTCATAGAGGGACCTGTGTGTGTGCACGCGCTTTATGGGTAAAAGTGTATGGTGAGAATATTTGTGAGAAGCATGATTTGTTTAACTGGTGATTTGAAGTAAAGTGAAACGTGGCTTCATTCTGCAGTGTACAATTGTGCGCAGAATTAAATATTGGCTACACAGCAAAAAAGCAATCTCGCTTTTGAGGGCAGCTCACATTTTATATAAACTCCCCTCTCTAAACAGGCACAGTTTGAGTTTGCACAGAGAGTGAAATTACAAGCTGTTCCTTTTCAGGCGCTCAGAGCCACAAGAGAAACTCCCTTAATGTTCCGTTGTAGAAAGTCCAGCTATGGAGGGTGTCATTTAATCCAAGAAACAAGGGCAAATGGTGTGAGTGCAAACAATTGCAGCTTGATACTGTTAAGCAAACAGGAAAAGGCAAATGACTTGAATGCCCTTATTACAGTTGGTGTTCTAGAGAAGTAAGAGGGCTCAAACAAAGTGTTCAAAATGTACTGAGTGTACAAGTTGTATGTGGTAAAGCATGCAATTTTATCTGGCTGTGTGAATACTCCTCTTCAACTTAATCTAATCTCAACTCTTGTTGGTTCGTGGAGGTTTGTTTGCCCCGAGCACTGGAGCTTCCAAATAGTCAGTGTTTTGGGGGCAGAAACGATTTAGTCTTTGAATCCGTAAAACCAAATCTGTAAACTCCCGATAATAACGGCTAATCTTTTCTGATCAGTAATGAAGAATGATGATTCAATGGAAAGATGGTTTCACACAGTGTCTGATGTTTAATCTCAAATCCAACAACTGCTCTTTGAAAACTGTTACTTTTTTATTTGGTTGCAAAACATTTCCACTACATTGAACGCAGAAGTTACCCAACTGTAAAATGTTTCAAAGCAAGCTGAGGACAGAGAGGAAGCGATCAGTGCTAGTGAACAATTTTTAGATATACATATAACGTGAATTTAAATGTCTGCTTTTCATATCGCCATAATTGCTGATCATGATAAAACCACATTGCAGCATTTTGGAGTGTGCTGCCTGCATACACTGGGCAGTCGATGCAGCCAGCAGCTTGAATTGTCTATTGTGCTGTGTGTTTCTTGCACATTTCTGCTGAGTGCCGGCTCTTCACTGAGGTGAAGAGTGTGTGTGTGTGTGTGTGTGTGTGTGTGTGTGTGTGTGTGTGTGTGTGTGTGTGTGTGTGTTGATGGGTACTATGAA